AGACACTAAACTAATAAGATTGTAATGTTTAAATATTAATATGTGTCGTTCCAAAGTTTACCGATCCTAATTGTATCTTGGAATAAGTTAACGATAACACAAACAAATATAATATTATTCCCTAATTTTTACCCCACTTCCTAGCTTTCTATTTCAAGCGTCTCGTTCAATCCTTCAAGCCAGTTCTATTTCCGACTTCTCTATTTCAAGTTCTTAAGTTAGATAAAAGTACAAAATAAGTTTATTATTAAAAGAGTTTTTGTTCTTGCCACAACAACTGCGACAATTAGGTATATTAGTTAGCATATTTAAAAAAATGCATTACAGACTTTTTTTCTTTTTCGTTGAAGGCTCGTAGCTAATGCCACAATAAATGAAAAAACAAGTGATAAATTAATAGAACCAGGCGTTACTTTGCGGATATCCATTATATTAATGTTGGAAAAATTTACTTTGCCAACATCCGCTCAATAAAATAAAGTCCTAGTGTAGTGCTGGGATTAGTGGGGGCCGGGATAGTGCACGCGATAGAGGTAGGTGCTCTTCGAACTAGGTACAACACATCATATTATTTTATTGAACGGATATTGGCAAAGTAAATGTTTCCAACTATAACAACTGATAAAATTTAAAGTTTTGTACAACCGACTTCAATATAAATTAAACGAGAACATCATGAATGTAGGCGAATTCAATTAAATACGCATTATTAAGGATAACTCAAAAACTACTGGTCAGATCTTGACCAAATTTATATGGGACCACATGACAAGCACCAGCTTTCAAATAGAAAAAGAATCATCAAAATCGGTTCACCTGGAAAAGTTTTGAGTTCCCCATTTTTTAAGTTGGTTGAAAAATAACTTCACATGACCGGTTTATTTCATATTCATCCTATGACGTCTCAAGCTTAATACATTTCTTTTGTGGGATTCCCGCGACCCGTAGCCTTACGTTTACCTGGTACTGCGCTATTGATGAACGGAATTGATGTTAAATTACCTACGAATAACGTGAGTTGGAGGAGTTTGGAGGAGTCGTGGTAGCTCATGGGCTATGCGTATGCGAGCAACCCGGGTTGGACCAATGAAATTGTTAATTATAATTTTAACCTGCATGTCTTAGAAATAAGAAAAAAATATTTCGAAAACATGTGTAGTTCGCCAACACGCATTGGGGTAGCGCGGCGGACATTTCCTTGCCCTAAAACCTTCTCATAAATGAGAGGATGTCTGCGTCCAGGAGTGGGACGTGTATAGGCTGTAACATTAAATTACCTACAAATAACATAACGGTGAATAAAAGAGACCTAATTAGAGAAATAATTATACGTGGTAGAGCCATGCTGCAGTTTTATTAGTAGTATAGTTGTAGCACGAATGGGTCGGCTCGACCGGGTGAGGACCACGCTTTCACAGAATACCAGCGTTAAATAGCAGCTTAAAACAGTTGTGTTTCGTATGGTGAGTGTAGAGAATCGAAGACCCTTTTTACTGGAAACGAGGCATTCCAGTTCTTAGTCCTCACGGGTGACGACGCATCTGCATTTTGATTTGTAATCGAGGAAAGATGTAGATGTCTATGGGCCACAGCAACCACTTACCATCAGGTGGACTGTGTGCTCGTTTGTCACCCTTATCCTATAAAAAAGAGACCGGGCAAGTGAGATTACGTGTATACAAATTAATATGTGACGTATGACATAAATGGCCATATCATTTAATTGCTTTGCGTTACTGATCAGCTTAATTTTCTTTTTTTCGCATCTCCAAGTGACCGTAGACCTTTGTATTTGAAATTAATTTTAACTTAAAACCATTACCTGTTCCTGAGAAAAAGTGTCTTGACAGACGGACACAGTCCACCTGGAGAAATAATATTCAATAAAAAAAATGCGTGAGTGTCGTGGAATACTCGTTTGGAACGAAGTTCCTTGCGTAGTATATTATTATTGATAAACGTAGGTATTATATTATTCAATAACAAATACAAAAAAATGAATTACTAGCTTCTATTAAAATGAAGCGTCATTTGAAAAAAATAATATTTCTTAATTTCTAATAAACTAAATATGTAGTAGTTAAATATGGAGTACCACAGGGAAGAGTGTTAGGCCCACTACTATTCTTGTTATACATAAACGACTTACCTAAATCCGTTATTCAACCAGTAACACTCTTTGCTGATGATAGCACCATAACGATTCAATGCAATAAGAAGGATAGCTATAATAATGACATTAATAATTCTCTTATATCAATAATAAAATGGTTAAATAATAATAACTTAAAAATAAATCTGAATAAAACTTGTATAATGCATTTCAGTCAACGTTCATCAACTCCCACTAATCTTAAGGTCCAATATAATAATAACATAATTGAAGAAGTCAACACTGCCAAATTCCTCGGGGTGACGATTGACAAGAAATTGAATTGGAAAGAACACACAGAAATTCTTAGCAAAAAAATAAGCAACTCGACATATGCACTTTACAAATTGGTTAAAGTGCTTAACATTAATGCGTCGCTTACAGCGTACCATGGCTTAGTTTCATCGCATCTAAGATACGGGATTATCTTCTGGGGCAATTCGACTAACAAAGAATTACCTTTCAAAGCACAAAAGCGATGTATTAGGACCATGTTTAAACTAAAGCCAACTGATAGCTGCAAACCCTATTTTATAAAATATAAAATACTGACATTACCATGTCTATACATTTTAGAAATTGCCATGTCTGTTAAACATAATCGGCACTTATTTCCACGTTTATCAGATGTAGTTAGTCGCAACAGACGCGATGATACTATTCTATGTTTGCATAGCTCAAAAACTGCATTGATACGAAAAAGTGTTTTTTGCATGGCCCCTTTAATATATAATAAGCTTCCGAAATGTTGGAAGGAACAGAATGCCCGTATATTTAAAAATAAGTTGAAATTATATTTAGAAGGCAAAGCATTAGTCGCAACAGACGCGATGATACTATTCTATGTTTGCATAGCTCAAAAACTGCATTGATGCGACAAAGTGTTTTTTGCATGGCCCCTTTAATATATAATAAGCTTCCGAAATGTTGGAAGGAACAGAATGCCCGTATATTTAAAAATAAGTTGAAATTATATTTAGAAGGCAAAGCATTAGTCGCAACAGACGCGATGATACTATTCTATGTTTGCATAGCTCAAAAACTGCATTGATGCGAAAAAGTGTTTTTTGCATGGCCCCTTTAATATATAATAAGCTTCCGAAATGTTGGAAGGAACAGAATGCCCGTATATTTAAAAATAAGTTGAAATTATATTTAGAAGGCAAAGCATTAGTCGCAACAGACGCGATGATACTATTCTATGTTTGCATAGCTCAAAAACTGCATTGATGCGAAAAAGTGTTTTTTGCATGGCCCCTTTAATATATAATAAGCTTCCGAAATGTTGGAAGGAACAGAATGCCCGTATATTTAAAAATAAGTTGAAATTATATTTAGAAGGCAAAGCATACTATAGCATATTAGAATTTTTGAATAATAAAATTTAAATCTTATGTAACAAGCAATTCTATTATTGGCACTGTATGAAGCAAATAAAATATAATGTATCTTCATAGTAAATAATATTAACAGACAATTAATTTATTCTTTAGATTTAGATTTATTGATAAAATTGTTAAAAATAGTTTAATAATGGTTTAATTAGATGATGTTTTAATAATATTTCATTTTCAATTATTGTATACTATTTGTAATATTTTCATTGATTTATACATTTGTACGCCACAAAGGACAAACATGACTGAACCTTTTAATATATCTGAACATCCTGCATGCTTTGTATGTATACGTATATGTTTCTACAAATAAATATCTTATCTTATCTTATGGCAAAATAAGAAAAAGTGCGAGGGAGATGGATATTATCCCATCTCACTTCCTTATTTCGCCGCCAAGTCCGTCTACACTATGACACAAAGGGTAGTGACGAAAAAATCTTACACTTTTTGTCGCCTAGCTCCCATCCGCCAAACCCGTACCGTCCGATAACGAACCCCGTTCCAAAAATACGTTTCGCTTTTTCGATAGAATAGCATAAATTATACGTAATAAGGTGATTAATTTTAGATAAAATCTGGAAAGCCAATAATCTTGAAAACTGTAACGGTTTTATTAAAGTTTTTTTTGGCTATTTTCATAGGGCACGGTCCCATCTCTAGTCACATTTCTTTTGGACTACTATTTACAGGGCTCCCTGTATACATAGATAAAACGAACAGATGTAAAACATCACATTTTTAATTGTATAACGCATAATTATACTATGCGTGATTGTTACTTCCACCTCAATAAAGCCTGAAAGTTTGAACTTATGAGTTACGTTCAAGACGTGCCCAAAGAAGGTTAGGTACTTCAACAAGTTTAGTTCCAATTAAATTAAAAAAAAAATCGTGCACAGACTATACGGCAAAGGCAACTTATGAGCACATTCAAAACACGTAAACACCGTATGCGGGGAATGGCGGACGTGTCACGTAGGAAAAATACACAAAAAAACCCGACTGTGTCCTGTCTTGTCAACAAGTTAAGTGTCGTTTAAAATATGCTGAATGACCTTTTCTGATAACAATAGCGTCATTTTTAACCTAAACGTGAACTGTAAATGTAAAACTATTGACGGTTCAGTGGCGCAGCGGCTTAACAGCGAGTTGCAACGCCGAAGGCTTCGAATCCAGCACATATTCATTCATAATTCGAAGTTTGCAACTTGGTAGTAAGGACAATGGAAATCGCAGCCAATTATTTTTTAAAAGCCTCTACACTAATATTTTCTCTTGGCACAGTTTACATACATAAATTTCACAAGAACAAAAATCCAGATCCGTAATAATTATTTGTAGGCATTCGAACCCGCGGCCCGTAGCGCTGCAACTCATTGCTAAGCCACTGCGTCACGGAGCCGTCATCGTTTATTGACCGACTACTTTAATTCCTTTTCCAGGTCAAAATGGCACCAGACGTCTCTACGATGGAGATGATCACCTCGGACTCTGAGCAGTTCGAAAAGCTGGTGGCACCACAAGCGGCGCCGAGGAAGTTCCAGATCGTGTACAGAAATCTATTTACGTTCGGATACGCGCACTTGTCTGCACTGTATGGACTTTATCTAGCCTGTACCAGCGCCAAATGGCAAAGCATTTTCTTTTGTAAGTTGACGCATTTTAGCTGGCTAAATTGACTTTTTAGTATACTTGACGCTAAAAGAAAACTAAGCCATTCCAAAATTGAGAAGTTCCTCTTTATTTTGAAGTCGGTTAGGCCACGTTAACACGGCGACCTTTCATTTCGATTTTTTCACGTATACGGTTCTACCGTATACAATGCAATCATTCACACGGCACGCGCGCGAGTACGTACGATGAGATTCTCGAATGCGCGAGTCGTGTGAACGAGACAACATGAACATAAGCGCCACTGCGTGTCTTATTCGATGAAATCGTTTGGAGACGCCGCATTCTCAGTGGCAACATCGTATGGTATACGATAAAAAATGTATCTCGAACACGACGTTTTTCTGTATGGACCCCATGTGAACAGTTTGACATATTTTCTACTGCCACTGCTATGTTCGATAAAATCTAGTGTACGGTGTACGGGAAAAAAAATAGCTGTGTGAACGTGGCCTTAGGGTGTTATTACACCAATCGATCGATCGATGGTGGAATGGATTAGTCGACGTTGATCGAGTTTCTACCACACCGAACATCAATCAAAATCGATGACATCAATCGATGGTAGAATGGATAAGCCGACTTCGATCGAACAGCTTAATTATTCGAAAACCCACCCCGCTCTATCGACTGCTATTTATAATGTCGTCTAGATGAATTTAAGCTATCTCTGGCCTTAAAAAACGGTAACATCCAGAGTCTTCTGCGTTTGCGTCTACGTAACAATAATACGAGCAAGAGCTAATTGACCAACAATAACGCGTCCTCTTTTGAAGCATACTGAAACACAAACAAATTACATTTTGAAAGATACTGATGATGAGCCCATAACCAAATCGATTAATTGTCGATCGACGTAGATCGATGATTTAAGAACTATCGACCAGTATTCGTCGATCAGCTAAAACTACCACAACAATCGATCGACACCGATCAATGGCATCGTACGACGATCGTTCCACTGGTATGGTAAACACGCTTAGTTGCATCAATTTTATTATAAACAAATACTCAACCGATTAGTCGCTAAACTAAGGCGGTTTTTTTTTATTTTTTATTTCATTTTATAGAATACAGGATTTTTAGGATAACTTTTTCCTCATCAAATCTGATTTTCGTCCTTTAAATTTCCAGTTTACATTCTGTTCGTGCTGTCCTCGATCGGGATCACAGCTGGAGCCCACCGGCTGTGGACGCACAAGGCCTACAAAGCCAAGATGCCGCTGCAGATAATCCTCATGTTGATGAACAGCCTGGCCTTTCAGAACACCGCTACAGATTGGGTGCGCGATCATCGACTACATCATAGGTAAGGAACGGTCTATCTGGCCGATTTTAGTTGATTGTGCGTAAATTACGCAATATCTTCGTACACGACTTTTTCTTACTTAAGAATGAGGAATGAGAATGATATTTGACAAATTTTATAGTGGAGGAAACCATTTTTTTAGAAAAGTGTAGACAGTAAGGTTTCTTCCTTAAATATTGGTTATATTTTATATTAATTAGATTAGAAATGGATAAACCAAATCACGTATATTCCTAAAGTAGAAGAAATTAAAAAATTAAAGAATTAAAGAATACACCACTGAGGCATCATTTTGTATAATATAATAATATTCATAATAATAAAGCCATTTATTCCATATCATCACTTTCTTTTTACATTTCTGTATTTGTTAGTAGGTTATAGCTTAAAATTAAGAAAGAAATACTTATAATTAATGTTAGTATTGTTTATAAGATATAGACCCCTGTTTGAGTAAAGGTCCCCTCCATCCTTTTTCACGACTCCCTGTCCTTGCCAGACTTCTTCCAGTCGTTTCCTGCGACGTATGTTATGTCATCAGCCCACCGTCTTAATTGTCGACCGACATTCCTTATCCTCTTTGGTCCTTTCCATCGTGTGGCTTCAATGGTCCATCTTCTATCCGAGTATCGTGAGATGTGCCCGGCCCATCTCCACTTTAATAAGAGTGCGTGCTTAAGGGCATCTGTAAGTTTAGTTTTTTGATGAATGACTTGGTCCTTAATTTTATTTATTCTTCTAATTCCCAACATGCGTCTTTCCATTGCTGTTTGACTGCATTTGATTTTTTGTTTAATTGTGTTTGTGAATACCCAAGTTTAGCAGCCATACAGCAAGCAGGGTAACAGGCATGTATCAAATATTGTCTTTTTCATGTGCAAGTTGTAGTTCCCTTTGAGTATTTCTCTTAATGCCCAAAAGTTCTTCCAAGTTGCGTTAATTCTTCTTGTTACTTCTTCTTCATTGCTTGACGTTTTAAATGAAATTTGTTTACCCAAGTAGATGTATTCACTGACATATTATAAATTGATGCCTTTTATCGCTTTTGGGCGTTCACGACTGTTGGTTATTATCTTAGTTATACCTGCATTCATTTCTAGGCCGATTTTGGAGCTTTCGCAGTCAAGTGATGTCATCATTTCCTCTAGGTCTTTGGCGGTTTCAGCTATTACAACAATGTCACCAGCGAATCTCAGATGGTTTAAATAGTGTACGTTGATGTTCCCTCCTCTATATTTCCAGTCTAGCTTTTGGAAAATATTTTCAAGTACTGCTATAAACAGTTTTGAGGCCTCGTTCTATGTTTATTTCGTCCCCTCTACTTTCTAATTTTATTCTGCTCGTGTTTTTTCTATAAATATATTTCAAAATATTGATGTATTTAGAATTAATGTTTAATTGTTGTAATGCGTTCCAGATTGAACAGTGACTGATACTGTCAAAAGCTTTGCTGTAGTCAATGAAGGCCACATACAGAGGTCTATTGTATTCTCTGTACTTTTCTATAACCTGTTCTAAAGTCTGTTTGTGGTTCATTGTATTAAAGCCTGATCTGAATCTCACTTTGGTTGCTGTTTATCAATGTCGTCGGATATTCTATTTAGTATTACAGATGAGAATAATGTTTATATACTTGCCATCAGACTTATGGGTCTATAATTCCTTATGTCCAAGGGGTTTCCTTTTTTGAAGTGCAAAATTATGTCTGATGTACACCATTGTGTTGGTACTATTTCTTCGTCTAATATCATATTAAATAGTTGCGTTAAATGGCGGGTTAGAATGGGTGCTCCTATTTTACGGGCTTCGTTGCCTATTCCATCTGGACCGGTACTCTTCTCAGCCTTCAGCTTTTTGACATATTCGTAAAGTTCGGAGTCTTCGATTGGTCCGATGCAGTCACTCGTATTTATGTGAGTTGCTTGCGTTTCCATTTCAGTATTATTTTGTTTCTTGTATAAGTTTTTGTAAAAGCTTGTTGTATGGCTTATTACATCTCTTCTATATTTTGTTTCTTGCAAGTTGTGCTCAAGTTTCCGAGTCCATGATTTGAATGTAGTTAATCCTTTATAGGCTTTTTTGGCACTTCTAAAATTCTCGATGTTTCTTGAAGTAATCTCATATCTGTGATTGTTTTGGTCCTTACGGATTGATCTATTAGCCTCTTTGTATATTCTGCTAAGTTCTTCTTTCAGCTCTTTGGTTTTATTCTTTATGTGTAGTAGTTCCGTGCGCCTTTTTATAAGTTGGACTGTGTCTTCAGAGAATATATTATGTTGATCAGGCTTTGTAGTGTTTTTACATTTTAAGCTTTCTGTTATACCTCTTTCCAGGATATTGTAATTGGATGTCAATGCACACTGTTTCTATATATTCTGAGTGTGCACGTAGATTTTCGATGTAATTTTTGATCTCTGCTTCTGTCTTGGGGATTTCAGGTTGTGTTGTGTAGGTTTTTCTGTTCTTTATTGGACGACTTAAACGTAGTGTTGCACTCACTAATCTGTAATCGGAAAAGAAATTGATTTTGCTTAGTACTTCAATATTAGTTACAAGGTTATGGTAGTTTATCATCATAAAATCTATTTCATTTTTAGTTTTTAGGTCAGGCGATAACCATGTCAATCTTCGGTTCTCCTTCTTTTTTAAAAAATGAGTTCATTATTGCCAATTTGTGTTGATAAGCGTAGCTTAAGAGACGTTCACCTCTTTCATTGCGCACTCCGTAAGCATGTTTTCCCATTATTGGGTAATAGTTTGCTTGTGGGCAACCAATTTTAGCATTGAACTCTCCAATAACTATAACCTTTCCTTCGGTCTTGGTGTGAGCATATTCAATGTCATTGTAGAATTCTTCAATTTCTTCCTCCGTTGATCTCTCAGTCGGTGAATATGTTTGAATTATTAATAAGGAGAAGCATTCAAATTTTACTACTAACAGTGCTACTCTTTCTGAGATTCCTATAAAGTTGGTAATGTTGTTTTTATATTTTTTCTTGATCAGAAATCCTACTCCATGTAGTCTTTTGGTTTCACCGATGTAGCAAAAAATAAGGTCGTTGTATTCTTCGATCCAACATCCCATCTTTTGGATTTCAGCGAGGCCTAGAATATCCCAGTTGATGTATTTTAAAGCATTAGTTAATTCAAATAATCGTTTTGTTGATGCAAGAGATCTTACATTATATGTGCAAATTTTGAGGGTTTGTTTTATATCTTTATATGTTTCTGTATTTGGTCGAGGGTTGCAGTCTAATTTCCCACGAGGACAAGTCGGGTTGGGGAATGTTTTGTTTCTGTTATCTTTAAGTTCTTGTTTATTTAGTGTTTTGTTCCGGTGGCTGATGGCAATGTCCTATGTGTTCTGATCAGTTGGCGAGTTGACCGAAGGCAAAGAGTTGTCCTATGCCTCATTATATCAAAAGCATTTAGACGGTGTGTTTTAGCTGACACTTGTTATTTACGGGGGTATTATTTTACATTGGACGAGGTTGACGGTTCTCTTTTGGGTTCCTCAATTCCTGGTTTCCTCTCTTTGATAACTAACTTGTCATAATTTATATATGCATAATTTCCTTTCTTACTTTCTTCTTCCAATTTAGGCTGTAGTTTCTTTCTCGTGTCGAGAATTTTTTCGGTAGTTTTCAGACACATACACATTTTTCAGTTTCTTTTTATTTGCCATTATTGAGTTTTTCTTCCAGAAGTTTACAATTGTCCTTCCCATTTTTTATGTTGTTTTTACCAATTCTCTATATCGTATTTATGTCTCTGTCTGCTAAGGTAGTATTTAGATCGTCTTTAAATTTCTTTATAATGATTTTGATGAGATTGTTGGTCTATTTTTCAGTTTCTTTTATTCCATATAAAATTAGATTATTTGATCTTATATGTTTTTCTAGATTTTTTATCTTTTCCTTTAATTTCTAATTTTCTGATCTTAATTCCTGCACTTCAACTCTGAAAGGAAATAATTTTTTATCGATTCGTGTCATAATGTCATCGTTTTGTTTTGACATTTCTATTTTTATTTGGTCGAAATGAGATTGAAGGTTTTCCATTTTGGCTACTGTCCTTTGCATGGAGTGGAACGTAATATTTTAAGCCTTAGAGGAATTCTAATAAGTTGTGAACGCAGCTTGTTTAGTCTGTGGTGGAACGAAACTCAATGTTCCGTTATAGGCTTAATAGAAACGCATCCAAGCCAAAAGTAATCTTTCTCTGATATTGGTGGCACTGTTATGTCAAAATTAATTATTGTTTATGGATTAGAATACGTAAGAATACGACTAAGTTAAATGCACTTATTAGCACTTATTTTGTTCTGGGCAAAACACACGATTTTTAATACTCTATTTGCACTTTTCGTCCTAATTTTTCGATACACTCGCGGCAACGTAGTAAACCGGAAAACTTTCATTTAAAACGCAACTTTTCAATGATGATGACACCCTGTGACCATGTGCGTCACAGCTAAGTTCACCTTAGTCTCAACTAGCGACATCTGGTAAGCATAAGATTATTAGCCCACAAACCGATTTTGATGATTCTTTCTTCAGGCTTGGTCCCATATAAATTTGAAAAAAATATTCCAAACTAAACAATGGCAAAATAAAGGACGAACTTTTGAATATAATTATTTAGATTGTAATATTTAGTTAAAAAGTATAATGAAAAAAAAATGTGTGATAATTTTATATAAAATGTAAAATCCGATTTTGAAAAACTAAAAAGGAAATAAAACAGAGGCAGTCATGAGGAATAATGACAGAAGTAAATTATATGATATATGCGTATACATGTACACAGGCTGACGTATTGCGCCCAAGCGCGACGTCACGAGCATATCGAGGTCATCGGTGACGCGAACCCATAAGTTTTTATCTTACCAAAAAGTAGCTCAACGCGGCTGAAGATGTTTTCACTTTGATCAAAATACTTCATTTCACAGTCTGATTACGGGGCCTTAAGTCTTCTACTCGTATATACACATTTTGTCTTAGCATTGTGATAGTAGGCAAAATGCTTAACAAGCACACCTCTATATAGAATAAAAGTGCCAAGCAAGCATACAGTCCACGTGATAGTAAGTGGATGCTGTGACCCGCAAGCACCTCTGTCGTTTGTGAATCAAAGACACGCTGACTAAGGAGTACGATAGAATGCCTGATTCTCTACACTCTGTATACGAAGCACTGCAGCATTGAGCTACTAGTTTACGCTGATATTCGACCTTCGTCAAGACCCATTTCGTACAGCAACCGTAATGTAGCTGCAACGTGGCTCTACCGCATCATTTCCTGCCTAAGAGTATACGAAGAAAGGGACTCTACGAACCCTTTTTCGAAGGCTATAGAGCCAGTATAATGACAGGGTTTGAGACCATTCTATCAGTCCCCCGAGCTGATACCACATCTGCAGCCTTTCTTGTTTGGGGTTGGCTACATGTCTATTGGATAGCAGTAACCACTTATTAGGAGGTGGACTAAGTTCGCATATCACTTTAGTTTTTGACGGCTCCAAGCGCACTGGCTTGGCAATGAGTTTCAGCGGCTGTCGACCGCGGGTTGAAATCCCGCATGCAACAAGTAAGGTATATTTGTATGGCGTAGAAGTAAATGTTCCGGGTTTCGATGTTTGTCCTTGAGAAATTTATGTTTGTAAAAACATCTCTCTTACAGATACAGCGACACGGATGCTGATCCACACAACGCCACTCGGGGCTTCTTCTACTCGCACATGGGTTGGCTGCTTGTGAGGAAGCATCCAGAAGTCAAGAAAAGGGGCAAGTTCATCGACATGAGCGATATCTACGCAAATCCTGTGTTAAGATTTCAGAAAAAGTAAATACAATAATTAATTAACAATATTTACAGTTATAGTCAGCCTATATAAGTCCTACCGCTGGCCACAGGCCTCCTCTCTTTTCTGAGAGTGTGTGGGCATATTGGTGAACTTCACATGTCTTCGAAATATTTTTTCTTTATTTTCAGACATGCAGGCTTCCTCACGATGTTTTTCTTTACCTTTAACAATTTCATTGGTGCCGGCAGGGATCGAACCTGGGTTGCTCGCGTACTGTGAAATTTACAGCGAGCGCTTAGACCTTGAGCTACCACTGCTTCTAACAATATTTAAGAGAATATATTTGACTTTTGCCGATTTATAATGATGGATCTATAGCATATATGAAGTAGACAGTTAGTATACATATATACGTCTGATTTATCACATGCTCAACGGTGAAGTTTACTTGGAAGAGCCATGCTGCAGCTAAATTAATAGTATAGTTGTAGCACGAATGGGTCGGCTCGATCGGGGAAGGACCACGCTCTCACAGAATACCAGCGTAAAATAGCAGCTTAATGCTCCTGTTTCGTATGGTGAGTGTAGAGAACCGGAGACCTATTTTACTGGAAAAAAGGCATTCTATCTTAGACCTCACGGCTGACAACGCATCTGCATTTTAATTCGCAAGCGAAGATGGATGTAATGTCTATGGGCCACAGCAACCACTTATCATCAGGTGGACTGTGTGCTCGTTTGTCACTCTAATTCTATAAAAAAAAAAGAAGTAAAACATCGTGAGGGATCTTACATGCCTGGAAAAAAAATGTGTAAATGCGAGTAAAATTGCTTTGTAATAGCGCCATCTACTTCATTCTGTAGATAAAGTCATTTTGTTGAACAAAAATTGATTGACTCTCAAGGTGGTACGTAAAATAGACGCTAGATGGCCTAAACACGACTACTTTAATATAAATCGGTAAATTATTAAATCGTGAATATTTATGAATAATATGATAATGTTATTCAATATGATTAATTATTGATATAATAAATTTGTAAATTTTTAATGGTTGATTTTGAAAGTTAAAACTTATATTAACCCTCTTTAAAGCACCGCACAAAGAGGAGACCGAAATAATAGGTAACACCGTGTATTGTACTCTATTTCATTCTCGCACAGACTAAATCTTATAGATGTATGTACAATGTTTGTTGTGTTAGTGTCGTTTTTTCGTTTAATCGGGTTCAAATCACAATAATTCTAAAGAAAATTTCATTTCAAAAATATTTCGTAGACATGTAAGATCGCCTACAATTAATGGGGTAGCGTGACGGACACTTCCTTGCACTCCTCTCTAGTGTTGCCCAAATGCAAGAACAAGACGAGACTTAGCAAGTATTGGTCTTGGTCTTGCGCCAATACACCTGGTCTTGGTCTTGGTATTGCGCTCCCAGTCTTGTTCTTGGTCTTGCAGCAAGAGTCTCGTAAGTCTCGCAGACAATATCCAGATCCATCTTTACACATTTCAAGTGTTTTAAAAGTGTCTACAATATTTAACAAATATTCGAGCACTTTGTGTTTTAAAAACACACACTTCCAAAAGTCGAGATTTGCAGTGAATTTATTGACCATGTTTATCTATTAGGTAATAATAATAATAATAATGATAGTAAGTAATTATTATAAACCCATATAGTTAATATTATAATAATTACTTACTAGAATAAATTATTATGATATCTATCTATCCTTACATCCCTTACATCATCCTTACATCTAATTACAATATTTCTTGCCAGATCATCATAATGTATTTGTGTCCATTCTGAGCACCCGGAAACTTATTTTATTCTTTGGAACATGTACTCTGTGGCGGCAATCAAACAGTGTCAAATGTAGTGCGTGCGGCGCGGCGGCGACGATTGTATGCGATATCAATAGAAGCCGCCGGCGCGTGTATCTTGACCTTGTACTTTCGAATAGCTGCAAAATTTCTTTGACAGGTCAGTATCCGACCTTTGATGACGCCGACAACAAGACGCCGCGCATTATCAAAGTGCCGTTGGTCAAAACTAGGGATGCACTCTTTTTTCTATTACTGGATATTTCCATTCGCTATGTATGTTTATGGTATTGTTCGTAATACGCATAAGTCCAATTTTACATTTTTTTTATTATATTTTTTTGCGTCTCATAGTCTCTAAGCGTATACCCGAACTCCTATACTCCCTGAAACGATACTCAGTCCTAACTACAAGACGCAAGAGTCTCGCAGGCTTAGCCTTGTTCTTGCTCAAATCTTGCACGGTCAGTCTTGGTCTTGGTCTTGCTAAAAATAGGCGGTTTTGTTCTTGGTCTTGGTCTTGCAAAAATGCAAGAACAAGACCAAGACTGCAAGACCCAGTCCGATTTTGGGCAACTCTACTCCTCTCAGAAATGAGACTCTTCTCATTTCGTCCTGTGCCCAGGAGTGGGACGTAGGTTTAGGCAAAAAATATCGATATATATCGATGATATTTTAAATCACAATATATCGATATAATATATCGATACTGTTTAAAAATATCGATTCGATATATATCGATATATTTTTTCCCTTGCCCATCCTTAGTGGGACGTACATAATACATATACAATCGTTGTGATTTGAAACTCGATGAAACGTAAAAGCGACACTAAATACCAGCAATAATGATAGTTAAGCGTTCCCATAACAGACAAGCATGTATGTATAGATATATAGATGTATCACATCATCACAGGAAGCGAGAGAGGCGTGTCAGGATCGTTCCAAATCTACACGTGGTAGAGCCACGCTGCAGCTATATTATGGTTGTAGCACTTGTGGGTCGGCTCGTGGCTCGACCGAGGTAGGACCACACTCTCACAGAATACCAAGTAAGATAGCAGCAAGTATTAATGCTGTTTCGTATGGTGAGTGTAGAGAAACGGAGACACTTTCTATTGGTAACGCGTCTGCATTTTGATTCTTATTCTAGAATAATTGCAGATGTCTGTCCTCTGATAGGCAACAGCATTCACTTACCATGACAAGCGCTAGAGTTTTTCTAGTGAAAAATAATTGCTTTTTCTGAAATTCTAGATACGCAGTACCCGTCATCGGTTTGATGTGCTTCGCTCTACCCACGTTGGTTCCAGTCTACTTTTGGGGGGAGAGTCTCAAAATCGCCTGGCACATGGCGCTACTAAGATACGTCCTGAACCTCCACGGCACATTCCTGGTGAACAGCGCTGCACATTTATGGGGCACCAAACCGTACGACAAGAACATCGTCCCGGTCCAGAACGTATCGGTGTCGTTGATAGCGTTCGGCGAAGGTTTCCACAACTACCACCACGTCTACCCATGGGACTACCGTACAGCGGAATTGGGGAATAACTGGTTGAACCTTACAACAATATTCATTGACTTTTTCGCGTGGATCGGATGGGCCTATGACCTAAAAACGGTACCGGATAGCATGATCAGGGCGAGGTCAGATAGAACTGGGGACGGGACGGATAAGTGGGGAATGGGCGAGAAGCATGAACATTGTGATAAGTCTGAATGAAATTTGTTAAAGTGTTATTTTTTATTATTATAATTAAAATGCAAAATAAAACGTTATATTTTACAAATAATTATTAAATTTGATGAAACTAATTTTACGGATTTTATTGTGTTTAATTCAATCTTTTTAATTCCCGACTGTTCGAGCACTTTACAGCATCCCTAGTAACGGGGAAACAGTTTTCATAAAAAATTAGACAATTGCTAGCTTAATTAAAAGCCACCTATACCGATAAGAGCTTAATACAGTACCAAATAGAAGCATCAATAATTTAGTGCTCATTTAGTGCTGCCGATATACGCAAAAAAATTCGGGAAAATATTTTTTTTTAATATAATAAACTGCTACTTTGACATCTTTAGCAGAGTATTTGATGAAAATATAAATATTGACATCAGATTGGGTTATCGCCTAACGATACAAAATAAGAAATTAGTGCTCAATCAGTGTTCTCCATTTATAAAAATATATATAAAACAATATTTATTTTCTTATTTATGTCGTAGGATAATTTGATAAACCTAATTTAATATAAAAAAAGTTACAAACGAAACTTTTTTGTTTTAAAACTTACACAAAAAAGCCTTCCAATTTCTTTGTGCTCTTTTTTGGGGTAAAATCTATTTGAAATATTTTTTTTTACTTCAACGCCTGTTTGCAACAAAACATTTAAGTGAATTAACAGATCTTTTTTTTCTTTCTTCATAAACATCGTACTTCATAACTTGAAAAGCCGTATAGATTCTTCCCATTAACTGCTCTCTGGTTGATATTTCTTGCTCCTTGGCCCGTCCCTAAACGAACAAATCTACAGGAGTTAAATCTGGCGGTCTGGGTGGCCAAGGGATGGCCGTCTCTGCCGATCCAGTTCTCTGGGAAACAATTATGTAACTGTTCTCGCACGTTTAGATTCCAATGCGCTGGACAACCATCTTGCTGAAAGATCATTGGTCCTCTCGTTGCCAATATTGGTATTTCGGCCTCATCCAGAAGCTCTGGGAGATAGTTTATGAGGAATTCCAGGTAATGGATCGGTCCAGTAGTTTAGGAGGTGAATTCCTCCTCATCATATACACACGGACAAAAGTCAGAATTCGTCTGACTTTATTATCTTTATAATAAAGTCAGAAGAGTAAGTACCTACGCTGACCGAGTCAAATGATTTGCAGAAATCAATGACCACATTTTAAACTTGTTTTTGTTAAAGTGTCATCCACAGTTCCCCAGTGCGTATTGGCGGATATGAAGTCTTCCAAATATTTTTTTTAATTTTTCAGATTACAGTCGGTCTTTAACCCCCGAAGAAAACAGGGGCGTGTGAGGAATTTTGTCTGCGTGTCTGTCTGTAAAGCGATTTTGATTAAGTTTGTTTTTTGTTTGAAACGTGATTTAATGAGAGTGATCTTAGCTATGGTTCAAGAGAATCTGTTCAGCCGTTTGAAGATCATCAGTTCTTTTTTTTCCGGGGTATTTTTTTAAATTTTAATTTAAATTATCTTATGAAAAAAAAAACCACATACATTTTGTATGTGGTAGACTCAAGGCGCAGCTATATTATGGTTGTAGCACATATGGGTTCAGATCGACGGAGGTAGGACCACGTTTTCACAGAATACCAGCGTGAAATAACAGCTCAACACTGCTGTGTTTCGTATGGTGAGTGTAGAGAACAGGAGACCCCTTTTACTGGAAACGAGGCAATCCATCTTAGTCCCCAAAGGTGGAAACGCACCGGCATTTTGATTCTTATTTAAGGATAAATGTATATTATGTCTATGGGTCACAACATCCACTTACCATCAGGTGGACTGTGCGCATATTCTATAAAGAAATCGGCATATAGTAATCAGCAAATAGTATTTTTTTTATAGGAGAGGGGGCCAACGAGCATGCGGCTTACCTGATGGTAAGTGACCACCGCCGCATATGCAACACCAGGGGAACCAGGGGAATTGCAAGTGCGTTGCCCACCCTTTAAAAATGTGTAAGCTCTTTTCTTGAAGGTCCCTAAGTCGTATCGGTGCGGAAAAATCGCTGATGGTAATCGATTTCACAAGGAAGTTGTGCGAGGAAGAAAACCTACTAAATCGCACAGTGGTGGACCGCCAATCATCCAGACGATGTGGATGGTATCGGGAGATCTGCCGCGATGTGCGTTCGTGAAATTTGGCGGCTGGGATTAATCCGAACAATGCCTCAGAGCACTCCCCGTGGTAAATGCGAAAGAAAATGCAGAGGGGTGCGGACTGGATGCGGTCAAGTGGAAGGAGCTGGCACTGGGGAGCCCCAGCCCAGAGATGGGAACAGTATTCCATGTGAGGCCTAACCTGCGCCTTTTAAAGTTGCAGGCGTTATGCCGGCATGAAATACTGTCCCGCTCTGATGAGCACGCCAAGCTGTCTGAAAGTAGCCACAACTGTTGATCGGAAATTTTTTCGACTAAGCTTTTGATATTAGATTATTCATAAACATGTTATGATGTGTAACACTACAGAAGATGCTGACTCCACGATCCATCTTGTTGTTTCTAATCAAGGCAAAATGGCACACTTATTATAGCTAACAGAATTAGAAAACTTATTTGTATGTTTAAAACCTTAAGATATGTTGCAACAAATAAAGTTCTAAGCCAAGTTTATACAGCTCTTGTTGAATCTCTTTGAATATACGTGGTAGAGCCATGCTGCAGCTATATTATGGTTGTAGCACGAATGGGTCGGCTCGACCGGGGATAGACCACGCTCTCACAGAATACCAGCGTAAAATAGCAGTTTAACGCTGCTGTGTTTCGTATGGTGAGTGTAGAGAACCGGAGACCCTTTTTACTGGAAACGAGGCATTCCATCTTAGTCCTAACGGGTGACAACGCATCTACATTTTGATTTGTAATAGAGGATAGATGTAGATGTCTATGGGCCGCAGCAACCACTTACCATCAGGTGTACTGTGTGGTCGTTTGTCACACTTATCCTATAAAAAAAAAAGAATCAATACTGTCTTACTGCACCCTATATATAAAACTCGAAGACGAAAACAAGAGTAAACATGAGTATAAACATATTGTAAAAACTAAAAACTAAATTTCCTAGTCTCCAGTAAACTAAATAATAGCTTATATATCAGCTTATATACAACATGTACCAAAAACCATGTGGTTCCCTTTTGCGTTATCAGAGTCAGTATTCAAACGTAAAGAAATAACTATTTTCAAAAAACTTGAACATTTAAAAAAAATATTTTAATTAAAATAAAAATAATTTGCGAATTGTATGTGGCTTTGTTACCTCTGCATTATCCGGAGAATAAAAGGATTGTGAAAGGGGGGTGGGGCCCCTTCACCGATGCTCGTGTCAGTTAGAGGTAACAAAACCACATACAATTTGCAAATATTTTTTTTTAATTAAAATAATTTTTTTAATGTTCAAGTGTTTTGAAAAACCGTTTGAATACTGACTGATAACGCACTTAAAGGGAACCACACGATTTTTGTTACACGAAGTTTTTGTAACAATACGGTGAACTGACTGGCTTACAATTTTTTTTTATAGGTTATGGGTATTGAATTTATGAAGAAATAGAGGCTTTATTCGATAAAATCACATAAAAATGCACTCCAAAAACAAAAACAAAACATGCGTGAGTGTCGTGGAACACTCGGTTGGAACGAAATTCCTTTCGTAGTATATTGTTATTGATAAATGTATTATATTATTGATTAACAAATACAAATAAATAAATTACATATTATCGTCTATTAAAATCGAGCGTCATTTAAAATAATATTTCTTTCATGGCAAGATAAGAAAAAGTGCGAGGAAGATGGATATTATTCCATCTCGCTCGCACTATACAAAGGGGGATCGTGACGGAAAAATCTTACAATTTTTCTCGCCTAGCCGCCATCCGTCAAATTCGTACCGTGCGATATGGACCATCGTTCCTAAATACATACGTACGCACGCATACACACACACTTGTTTTGACCACCATTTAAAGCCGTTCAATTTAGAATCATATTGATTTTAGGCCTAATCGTGGTAACGTCATCACATAGTTTAGAAAATGAGCATTACACTGAATTAGTGATTAGTTTTAATTCATTATCATAATAAAAAATTTATAAATGTCGAATCGAAACATAATTGTTACGGACGGCGAAGGAGGCCGCCGCCCCGTCGCCCCTTCATACCCCATTGCGCCCCGCGCAACCTGCACACCGGCAGCAGATCACGCGATGTCGCCGACCAATCAGCGCGCGGCAGCGCCTTACGACGCTACTCACATACTGAGACGCTGTCTTGCGGAATATAAGAAGGGCGTTTTGGTCTGTGAGCTGTTCATTTCGGAAGCGGCACTCGAAGACAACAAGAGAAGAAACCTCAAGAGAAATCAAGAGATACTCCATTGAAGATAGAAGAGTGAAGACTCCCCTCTCTGTATATAGTTTATTAGTGCCGCATTTGTAAATAGTTGAATACAGTATATATTACGGATCGCCGTAATGCCGTGCGAAAAATGGAATAAAACGCGCTGGTCTTGCTTTTAACTGGAGGCAAGCGGCGGTGAGGAGGAACTTGTACTTTTTCTTTTCTTGCTGGTGCCTTTTCGGTGGCTGGAGAGCGACTGCTGACCCTAGCGGCCGGCCCGTCTTTTATATGATTTGGCCGCTGCTGGCCAGCGGACCCTTGCCTCACCCCCGCGCCTATCTTTATTTATTTAATAATCTTACAAACTAATAAACATAATTCACTATATAATATTCTTATAACTACTTGTTAGACTAGGGTGTACATATCAATATTTTTACTTATTTACAGGTTTACATTATAATTTTCAGCTGCTTTAGGCGGAGAATCCTTCCCCCCGCCTCAGCACTATAAATATAAAACGTCGTGGCGCGGTGTGCGTGGCTTCATTTGCTCCGCGGCCGCGTCACGATAACATGCTCTTTGGTTACACTACTACTATTATTTTATGTGCCTAACGGCCTAATATATTTA